AAACTCCCCCCCCCCCCCGTCCGCTGGACTGGTTGGGTGTGAGACATTCAAAATGTTCACCTTGCGACCCCGCCTGTTAGTATGATGCTGGTGGAATAAGCTGCATATTATTTGTGTGTATTTTGTTTATTTGTTTCCTCCTTGGTGGATTGAAAGGGGCTCTAGCAAGGTCCGCAAGCGGCAGGATTTCGGTAGTCTCGATGCACCTCTGTATTGGTGGGGGATATCGGAATGGGGGTATCTCGATCGGCCGGCATAGGGGGCCTCTGTGTCCTTGCACGATATCGGGATATCTTTTTTACGCCGAATGAGGGGGCTCCATGCCGTAGGTGTAGCAAGCGGCTCCAACACGTGTCTACTTCGGGTACCAGGGAACGAACGGCGGCTCCCAGACACACGACACTCAAGCGCGGGTCCTAGCCGGCGCGACTGTGTACGCCTCTCACTGATGCCTAACTCCTTGCGATCTCCCTGATCGACCGATGTGGGGCAGGAGTCTATGGCATGGCGTTTCTTCCCAGGGGATGCTTTCCGTCGGTCCCCTCGGAGACGACTCCGAAGCTCTTAGGCTGGAGGCGACGGCGAGGGGGGGAGCCAGCGGCGGCGGCAACGGCGGCGGCGGCGGCAGCAGCAGCTCCCGCTCGATTCACGCCATACGCTGCTTCAATGCGCAGGTGAGGAGGAGTATCGCTTGGTTGTGCGTACCGCACGGCCGTGCCGCGAAGGACAAAGATAAGGGCGAAGGGAGAGACGCACGGCGTACGAGAGGTTCTGCACCGAATGAAACTGAATGATGTTCGTACACTCTCGGGCGGTGGCCTTTTGCAGCTTTGTTGCGAACACATGATGATGTTGTTCTCTTCTGACTGATGGCTATTTTGTTGTTGTTTTCACCATCTGTTCTTCTTCCTTGATACGTCGAACCTTCTTTCTGTTTTTGTAGACGGACTTGTCCGCACTGGACCTCTTGCGAAACGGCCGCCTGGGAGACGACGACGATGACGATGACGGGAACGGCAAGGCGTTGGCTGCAGCCGCCGGTGAGCGGGGGGTGCTGCCAGAGGGAGAGAAGAAAAGTGCACGCAGGTTTCTGATCGGCCGATCGTTTCTGAACGGAAAGATCGGGTTGGCGAAGTTTCCTCGTCTGACCGTTGAAGTGCGGTGTATGGTGCGGTCTGCGGGCTTTGTACCTGCATGAGGTTTCATGCGGGGCATACATTATGAGACCGGTTGACTTGGTTTGATGGTAGCAATAATGTTCTTAATTTGCCGTGAGGAGATTGTCTCTTATCATGTTGTAGTAGGGCGTTCGCAACATGTTTCAAGGACCAGTAGGGGATTTTGGGTGCAGTGCATTTGGGCGGGTGATCTTGGCGTACGACAGCAGCCCCGTGGTTGAGTTGTGGGTAGCTCCGTGGTGTGCTCATCGCATCTGGACGCCGTGACTTTTACGTGCTATTTCTCAAACAACTGCCAATCCACCAAAACAACAACAACAACAACAACAACAACAACAACAACAACAACAACAACAACAACAACAACAACAACAACAACAACAACAAGGCGAACAACAATCACCACCACCACAAGGTCGACAACGCCAACAAGAACATAACGCCCCCGAGCGCGGTTATTCCAACATTGCAATCAGTGGCAGCCATGCTCATTGCACTCTCTGACCGACACACCATGCCCTCCCCACATCTCCACCTCCTGCTAAACATCAAGCCGGCAACGCTCTGGGTAGAGGCAAAGGCCTGCTCGACCTGGACTCCGTCCCCGTCCTTCGTTTCCTTCTTTCGGGGGGTCTCGCCCCCGACGACTGCAACAGCAGCGGCAACAACAACAGCAGCAGCAGTAACAACACTGGCATCAACAGCAATAGCAACAGCAGCAAGAACCGCAGCAGCAGCAGCAGCAGCAGCAGCAGCAGTGGTGACCGCGTGTTCGACCTGTGCCTGACGCGTGGGGAGCGCAACGCCGAGGTTTCCCAAACGGTGGAGGCTTTCAGGCTCAACCGAGACCAGGCCCGTCTTCTCTGGCGCTGTGCGACCTGGTTCCGCCCCGCTGAGGCTGCCGGTGAGAGTGTGCAAATAGGCGTTGCGGTAATGACAGTTGATGGCAGCCACTTGGAGAGGTAAGAGTCGCTTGGAGCATACCATCATCGGCTGCGCGACTCACGATAGTCGGGTTGTGCCGTGGCGGACGACCAACGCAGGTGACAATGACGACGACGAAAGCGACGACGACGCCAAGGAAGGCCCAGGAACTAGAGGGAGGGCCAAGGAGAAGGAGGAGGACCAAGAGCAGGGGCGTCCGACGGAGGAGGGAGGAGGGGGGATGGCGGGAGAGGACGGCGCCCCGGTTGTTCTCGTGCACGGCGTGTTCGGTGAGAGGGGGGGGGGGGGGGGGGGNGGGGGGGGGGGGGGGGGGGGGGGGGGGGGCGGTCTTGTCAGCGCTCTCGGCTGTGTAAGAGGTAGTTTTTTTTCGGTGAATGGGGCAGACGTTTTCGCTGCTGCACGATTTTGCCGCTAGTTTACTCGATCGATCATGAGCCAAGAAACAGCTTGTGTGGCGGGACTGGACCTGAATTTTTCGCCGGGATTCACGTGCATCAAGTCACTAGCTTACCAGAGCAGTCCTCTCTTCCCGCTGGGCGGCATGTCCCGCTCGCTGCAGTTCTCGTCGATGCCGTTCAACCCTCACCCTAAACCTTTCCTCCTACCCCTGCTCCCCCTCCTTACTGCTTCCGCCCATTGCCGTCCTTATTCGCTCCTACCCTGATGGGTTGATGACGCTATCTGACACGGTTCGGATGCGCCCGCGCGGGGTTTGTTCGCCGTCCACCATCACCATCAACAACATAACCGGCAACGACGACGTTCGCGACAACGACCATATTCACGGCGGCCGCGGCGGCGTGCTGTGACACGATTTTCGCGTGGTCGACGTTGGTATCCCCCCTGGGTCTTCCTCGTCTCCTCTGTCTCTGACCAGGCGCTGGAAAGTCCCTTACGCTGGTAAGCGAGGTTGTTGCTGCGTGTGTTCTGCTTGTCGTCACCCCCATGTGTCGACCGTCGTTGCTCCAAAGGTTTGACCCAACCGAACGTCCTCGCCTCTTTCAAGTTGAAGAGCCCATGTCCGTGGAACATTGAAGGAGTGACAACATACGGACAAAACTCCCTAAAAGCAGTTGTGTACCAGGTAGCTCTCGCCCTTGACCCGGAGCTGCTCTAGATTTTTCGACCTCGAGACCCCTTCGCTCCCTATCCGGGCTTGATGCCACGTACCGCGATGCGTTCCACGACAGCCGGTGGTTCTTGTCTCCCTTGTGGATCGAGCATGATCCAGCAACACGGGGTATGAGGGATTTCAGGGCGCGGCTTATCAAGTACCGGGCGATTGCAAGTTCGTGTGGCTGTGGTATACCATGAGCATGGCTCAAGAAACGAAGGTTGCCTGACTCCTTGAACCCCGAATTCTTGAGTGATGGCACTTTCTATGCATACCTTGCCTTACCTTGTGGCAGGCCTGCTTGCTACGTATCGGCGCAGGACGTTCCTGCTTCTCTCTTTGTCGAACGTGGAACGATCACTGGCTTCCTGTTTTGATGTCTCGTCCAATGAAAAAGTCAGCATGATTTTCGCTCCATTTCGCTCCCTTTCTCCTCTGCTGTGGGGTATGATTTTTTAATGAAATCGTTCACAAGTGACAAAACAAAATACGACTATTCGCACCTGCTCTCTGAGTGAATGATCGAGGGATGTCGTCACTCTTTCCGTCCAATAGAAATTTAAATCAACTCATATTTTTGCGCTTTGTTTCACGTTCAGTCTATGATAGTCGTTTTGTCAATGTGTGGGTTGAAAGGTCGGGTGTGATGATCGGCAACATCGGCACGAAACATAATCTTTGATGTTCGCTCTAACGTCGTACGTATCCAAATCTTGCGATTGTTCTTGGTCTCTGCGTGATTGAGAAGGTGGCACTATGTGTGATGGTCGACAGGATAGCAGCCGCGGATGCCCGCTTGAGGTCGTCACGTGGACTCCCCCCCAGGCCAAAGGCAGAACAAGTCAGAGTTCTCCTCGCTTCCGGTACCAACGTTGCCGTCGACAGGTTTGTTGTCTACGTACATTCTTTTACATTTTTTTTTAAATGAACGTGTGATTTTCTGTTCAGTGAGGTTGCCTTTTTTTAATGTGAAATTTCTCCACTATTATTCACATGCGTGAGTGTACTATACTTCGAGATGGATATAAAAATAGCAATGAACGAATGCATATATGCATTATTTTCTACCCAGTATGTGAAGAATTTGCTCTGGCCATGAGTCTGCTTCGACGAACACGCACTAATGAATAATGAACGGCGGAATTTTTCCTTAGATTGTTTTTTTTTTCATGACCGTTATCGTAGTGATCGTAAGTGATATCCACAATGAAGATGCCTAATGGAAGTGTTGGTTCACCCCGAGGCTTGCAGTTGTTTTCATTCATGTGCTCGTTTGTCAACGATGAATTTGCTCGTTGTGTAGGTGAAAGCCCTTTTTCACAATGGAAGTGTTCTCTTTTGAAGGGTGGACGCGCGTGTTTGCGTTGGAACTTGGCATTTGTTTTGTTGTGAAAATTCTCTTTTTCACAATGAACTTGCATCTTTTTGGACATTTACGATCGATCCCAAAGGAAAAGCAACTTTTCCGAAAGCAAGCACAGCGATGGTAGAATTTATGCTTGAATAGTGACAACAACCAACCAAAGTAGCGTGCGTGCGTACGATTCTGATTGCATAAGGTGGTCACACAAAAGGCAAAAAATAGTGGATTCAGAACGACAACAGAGGAAGTTCATTCAGAAAAAAAATACTTCCTTGTTACGAACAGACAACTTTATTGTGATAAATTGCACATTCGCTCGCTCCAAAAGAGCTCAAGTTCTTCATTGTGGAAGAGATTGCATTAGCAAACACAATACTAGTATATTGTGAAAAAAGAGAACATTGAGAAACGAATATATACAGTCTGTAAATAGCAAGTTTAATGCTCAAAAATAACACTTTCAACTTTCAACGAAGCAACACCCAGCTTGTGGAAGTGAGGAAAAATTGGCCACCACGCCCCAGAAAAATGCCAAGGCGGTGGTTCACCAACGTGTCATACCTTAGGAGATAATAACTTTCTTCCGTCTCTTTTTGTCTTACTGGCCTTCGATAAATTGTTGCAGCAATCCTGTTTTCCCGCACAAATGTACCTCAAGACAGCAAGCAGCGTTTTGAGTCCTCGCGGCACACCCAGTAGGTTTGTTTTGGCATCACAAGGGGGTACTGTAGCGTGCTTCTTGTGTCTGCTTCATGAAGGCTGCATCACGGGGGATGTTTGAGTCGACAGAAAGCGCACATCGTTAGATCGCTGACGACCCGAACAAGTACATGTTATGAAAAGTATCCCCAACATTATCACCCGATAGTTTGCCGTGATGGTGCAAGGGACAACGAGATCGTTGCGTTGGTTGCAGTGAAACATGAAAGGCAGAACTAGACCAAGTCACCACGATTGATTCGCTGGTGATGCGTATGCGTTCCTCTCTCCAACATCTCCGAGCTTCATTTGCCGTGGAGACGACTCACACACAGATAAACACAAAGAGGAGGAAAGTGAAAAGGTTACCTAGCAATACTGTTTTGGTGTGGATATCGTCTGAAGTTGTACGTACTGTATTCGTTGTGCTTTCGTCCTTTCGGTTTGAGTCTTTTCATTCCTGGCACAGCCCGAATGGATAAGAATCGACCGCCGGTGGGTCCCTCCGACGGGTAGGGTGCTGGCGACACTTGCTCGTCAAAACACGGCGCGCCGTTAGCCTTGTGCATCGTCATGGGGCCATATGCAGCACAGGTATTCAAGTCTCCCAAGAGTTTCATTCTGAATCGATATCGAGGACTTACGTACATGCTTACACGCACGCAGCGGTCCGCTCGCTTCGCGCTCCCTTCATGCCCGTCCACGCCTCCTTGCGGCTTCACACCCCCTATCCTATTTGCTTCACTCCTCTTCTTTGTGTTGCATGTTTCACACCACTCCGAATCCATACCATGGGTGTCTTCAATATTAGCATCTCGCCCACGCGCTGGCAGGCTCACCAAGACAAAACGCCAGGCTCACCACGGCTGTGTGTGTGTTGTCGTGTACCATTTGCGTTTCCCCCCGTATTCTGCCCGGCACTGATGGCAGGGTTCTGATGGGACTGGTGTCGGCGGGTTTTGACGACATCGCCCGCCTCGGCTCACATCGCCGGACGCACAAGTCTCTCCTCGACCGGGTTGTTCACAGCAGCCCCCCTGGGCGCGACGCGCAAAAGGTATGTTCGCATCTAACGGTTGCATATTGACTACTAGGAGTTAGAAAGCCTACTCTTTCTAAAATATCAAAACCACGTTGGGAACCACTAAGTAGGCATGTTAATCGTTGTTGATCGTGTCCGTAGCCTATTTAGAGTTACAATATATATTTGCATGAAACTCTTACCCTCACGACCTGTCTCAGTGGTTGATGCATCCTCTCTCGCGGTGCCAAAACCGAAACACATATTATCGCATGATTGGTGACTCATGCCGCACAAGTCTCTCACGAGCAGGGTTTGCACATTTGGCGACGGTTGTCGATTGGAAGACTACCCCCCCCCCCCCCCCAAAAAAAAAA